AAGTCATAGAGTTTAAAGGCAACGCTAGCAGATACTGAGGAGATGGATGGAAACTTCTGACTCTGAAGAAAGTCATAAAACATTCTCTCTCTCATTATTCTGGAGTTTAGCAAATAGAAATAATGTTGGTGATCCTGACTGACCTGAAACAGGAAAAGTTTAGTCTGATTAAAGTCAGATTTTTTTTTTTTTTACTGGTTGTACTTGTGTGTATACAACAAGTTAGACAGGTGGTCTAATAAATTTGTTATATCCAAACGTGCAGCTTTAATCAGGCTGTTGGTAGCGATTGGTCGAACGGCTTTTAAGAAATCTGTGTAAAAAAAAAAAAAGAGCCTGGCTAAAAATCTCCACCACTGCTGACACCAGCCGTCTTTGTAGCTCCGCCAGATTTTACAGCAGAAACTTCATTCAAAGCTTAAACGGCTTCTAAGGCTTTGAACGTCATTCGCCTAAAACATCTCTGAACTTCACTGCAGGCTTCATGAGGTCCACGTCTCTGTTCACGCTGGTGGTCCTGTGCGTCACCGTGTTCTTCTGCGTCGGCTACACCTGCTTCGGACACTTCAAGTACCTGAGTCCTCACAACTACGCCGTGAGTTCTCCGTCCTGGTGCTCGTGACGCGGTCCTGTGCCGTCCTTCGTCCCTCTGATCTCGTTCTGTTTGTGTTCAGGTCAAAGACGAGGACGACGATAAAGGAGAAGAAGGAGTGGAAGAAAACGCCACGGTACTGTACCCGCTCTGTAAACAAAGATCAGACGGATTCAGGACAAGCTGACCTCGCGCTGACCTCCCGGGATGTTTGTTTGGCGTTTTTCTTACGTTAGATATTAACGAAGTAATGGATAACATAATGATTAAACACTTTGTCTTCAGCTGCCACAGAAAAATGCAAATACAGTAAAATAACACGACAAACAAGGGAAGTAAATAAAACAGAAGATAAGCGGCTTTTTTGTAGGTCAAACGTATATGCGATGGTTGTTGTTGCGATTTGTTTTTTCTTTAAGCTTCAACACAAGCAGTGTTGCATTAAACACATCAGGGAGGACAAAAAATACACAAAAATAGATAATCTGCCGTTAAGTTATCTTTAAAAGTAAGTAAATAAATAAAATTCAAGCTCGGAGCTGTAAAATGGTTGGATTATCAGCATGAATTGTGTGAGACAAACAGGTCTGTTGGGAAAATTAACCAAATCTAAGCTTGAAATTATATTATTTCAATCAAATGTAAATGTAATCTTTGAAAAATTTTGCCAAGAACAAATAGTTTGTGGTGATCAGATTCTGTAAAAAACTAAAAATTCTCACCTTTTTGCTGCCAACGTGAAGCCGTGAGCGACTCGGCTGTGACCAACGGTCAGGTGGCAAAAATTCAGAGCGTTTTCGGCTGAACTGCAGGCAGTGTTTCTACACAGAGCAGAGAGGACACAAGGAAGGAAACTGCAGTCGTGACTCGATAACTAGACACTAAACGTAAAACCTTATTTTATGTCGGATAGCAAGGCTGTCGGATTGTCAATACGGAGGTCAAGATTCAAGGGATGTTAAGACGCTGCTGACTTGGTTGTAATGTTTTGTTCTGTAACATCGGACAAGCAGCTTCGTCTTTTCTTAATCTTCAACGTTTCTTTCCCGTCTCTTTCCAGGTTTACCTTCCCAGAGTGCTGAACCCTAAATCTCCAGCCAGCGGCCTTCAGAAGTCCAAATCTCAGCAGTCCTACGGCTCCACGGAGGAAACCCCGTCTCCCGAACCCCGTCTGTTGGAGGAGGACGCGTCAGAGGCTTGAATTCGTCCTGATTTTATCAAATCTGCTTCCTTCACGACTCTGAACACGTTCGGTTCCTGCTGACTGTCGACGGACCGGTTTAACTTTTATACACCGACGAGCCACAACATTAAAACCACCTGAACACAGACGTTTGGTGCTGAAAGAAAACTTGCTCGAGGAACACGACAAAGAGCGAAAGATAACGAACTGATCGAGCGCCGCCAGAACAATCCTGAGAACCAAAGGATCCACTGCCAACACCTCCAGAGGTCCCGCCTTCATGCCTTCACAGCTCCGAGGTGTTTTGGCAGCATGAAAGTCGCCTAATCGACCTTTTTTTTTAGTGTTTATGCTTCCATTGAGGTGCAAAATCCAACAGCTCCAACCGTGACGTGAACCCAGAGTTCACCAAACCAGATGTTCTGTTGCAGGAAACAGAACAGCGGAGGTTTGTCTCGTCAGCCTGTTTGGGGAAAAAGACAGAAAAACGACTGTTTGACCTTGAAACCAGCTGCCGTCGAGACGTTTCCAGAAGAACGTAGGCTGAAAACAGGCCGACAGAGGTTCCACGTGGACGCTTCCTGCACAATGTCTTCAAATTCCTGCAGCGGTTTTAATGTTGTGGCTCGTCGGTTCAAGTTAACCAGAGAAAACAGTTCAGGAGCTTTTACTTGATAATCAGCACTTGACCACACGCTGCGCCATAAAGGACCAATCCACCAAATGTCTCCGTTTAAATGAAGCCATTCTGTCTGTCGAAGCCCATAATGAATCCTGCCGACACCAAAGAGGCGGAAACGTCTGCTCTGGTTTTTACAACGTGCCTTTTTTTTTAAATGTCTGAGCACCTGCCAAGGGAATAACTTCATGCTGCACTTTGTGTCGTGTTTACTAAAAAGAGCTTTTGTAATTTAACGACAGTAGTTTCTGTCAGTGTTTCTGAAGCTTTGCAACCAAAAGAAGCCTTGTTCTGATGATTGTTTGTGGTCGTTGTTGTGCCAATAACAGACGGGGCAGCGTTTACCGTCTGTGTTTAATGTACCTGTGCAGCTTTTTTGTCTTTTTAAGTGCAATTAACGAGGAGGTAAATCCTAGAAGACGCTTTGTTACCTGTCAGACTGGAACTCAGGTTAATATTTTGTGTCAGTATTAAACGTCCTCTCATGCAGTTTTAAAATGCAAGCTCGCCGTGTGGTCATCGGGGGGCGCTGTTGAGCTGCAGAGGGGGAGAGTCCGACCTCTGGAGTATTCAGAGAGCTGTAAAGAAGAAAAAAAAAAGGTCATGAGTGTTGCGTGGAGGCTTTCTAACCGACTCTGACACTGGTATGAGCCACTTGACTGGGTGACAGAAGCTCTGCAGCTCCTCCTCCTCACCTGATCCTCTGTTGTCTCCCTTTTTTTTTTTTTCCCCCGCTTCCTCTCCTTCTTGCCCTTTTCCCCTTTCTCACCACGGTACCTGCCTCGGCTCAGGAACACCACAAATAAAAGGCTGATTAGCAGCGTTTGTTAAATGGGGGTAATGAAGTGCTAACGCGTCCGCGCTGCCGGTTCACCGACGAAACCCGGATCAGGAGCAGCTTCAAGAAAGCAGCTTCCTCCTTTACTTAGAGGCGTCCTGAAGCTGCAGCAGACTTTATCGCACTGTTCTGCAAATGTACACACAAAAGTTAAAGAACGTTTGCAGCAAAAACGTTGGAAGAACCGAAAGTTTTAGTTTTACCTGTAATGTCAAAGATCACTCAGCAGCCTCTCCTTTGTTTAACATTTTTAATTATTATTTTGTCATGTGCGTGTCATCGATCATCTGAATTCCACTTGAAGATTTAAAAGGCCAAAATTACACCATTAATCAGAACCAGAAACTGTAAAATCTCTTCATTTTTAGCTCTCCGATGGGCCCCGAACCAATCACGTGTGACGCACAGTTCCATCAAGAAAATCAACCAAACTCTCAACCGAGAACCTG